GAATCCCCCCCCACAAGACCTCCTTTCTTATTCCTGGCTCCTCCTCCCATGCCCACCCCCAGGCTTCCCCAGGGTGTCCCCCCACCCTTTGGGGAACTCCCTGCCCCAACCCATCAGTTATCAACTACTTTTCTTCTCCTTTAGGCGCACCCTGAAAACCCATCTCTTCAGGAGAAGCCGTACCCCACCCTCTGCTAACTTGCTTGACCTCCTCCACTCTTTCCTACACACTCCAGCCCCCACAGCAATCTCATCTGTTCCACCATCCCCTACCCTCTCTTGATTGTTAGCGTGAAAGAAGCAGAGGCCCTCAATCCCCCCTCATGTTTTGCATTGTATTGGTCTTGTTCGCAAACTATTGGTGCTTTATAAATACTGTATAATAATAATAATAATATAGGGACGAGGGTCCCACCCCCTCTATCACTCATCGCCATCTTCCCAACACAAAGAAGTACTGCACTTCCTTATTTACTCCATGATTTAGTCATGAAGAACAGCGGGGCTGAGCCCCACCAGAGGTCAGAGAGTGAGGATGGGGGGAGAACAACCAAGATGAAGACTGGACTGATCCTGAAGACCACCATCATTGGGCTATTAAAAAATAGTGCAGCGCTAACAACCTATACTAAAATACAAATGAGATAAATGGAAATATCACATATAGAATGCACAATAAATATTCAGTGTTAGGTGCTCATAAAATGAATACTATGTTCAGCAGTCCATCAATGCCAATGATGGTGAAAAATCACAGCAAAACTCAGTGAGGTGATCACAGTGCCACTCAGTGTGCGGTCAATCCACAGATGGCCAAGATGGCCCCTCACCTCCTTGATGCGACCCACTGGGCCAAACAGCTATGTAGGTGACCTTATACACCCAATAAGGTATCATCAAAGGATGGAACGTATGGACAGATCCCTCCAATATCTTCTCCTATCTCCTAGGTACTTGATTCCACAAAACCGTTTAAGATACCATTAAAAACAAAGAAGATTCTCCATAGTGTAATCCAGTTTTAATAATAACATGAATATAAATAAAATGCCCACTCACATGTAAAATGACAAAAATCAGCTTTTTCCCATATCATGGGTGTGTTTCCATGGTTCTCATGCTAAGAAAGTGCGTACCTTAACGCGTTTACGTCACGATCCACGTGACTTCCTCAGAGTAAGTGACTTACTGGAATCGAGTACCTAGGAGATAGGAGAAGATATTGGAGGGATCTGTCCATACGTTCCATCCTTTGATGATACCTTATTGGGTGTATAAGGTCACCTACATAGCTGTTTGGCCCAGTGGGTCGCATCAAGGAGGTGAGGGGCCATCTTGGCCATCTGTGGATTGACCGCACACTGAGTGGCACTGTGATCACCTCACGGAGTTTTTGCTGTGATTTTTCACCATTATTGGCATTGATGGACTGCTGAACATAGTATTCATTTTATGAGCACCTAACACTGAATATTTATTGTGCATTCTATATGTGATATTTCCATTTATCTCATTTGTATTTTAGTATAGGTTGTTTGAGCGCTGCACTATTTTTTGTATTTTTTTGTATTTTTATGTTCTTTCCTTGTGGTTGAGGTGAGTGTGTGCTGCTTATTAATAGGTGTTTTCCATTGAGCGCAGGAGTTTTTTTTCATCATCATTGGGGTATTGACTCCTCCCTCATTATCACTTTCTGTTTAAGGGTCCAAAGTTGGAGGATGTTATCACATTATTATCACCATGTAAAAGTCTGTGCTCCAATCACATCATCCGATATAAAATGTCCAGCTGGGAGGAAATGGGGGGAACAAAAGAGAATAACAGTTAGGTCTATATAGTATCAGAATTATGTAATGCACAGCATAAAGTGTGTAGTGCAGGGGTCAGGGGAATGTAAAATGAAATATAAATGATATATTTCACTTATGATGAAAATCAACATTTTGCTAGCAACTTGAATCTACATAATGTACATAAATACAGTCTCAGAAAGAAAAATATCTAATGTGCAGGATTGGGAACACAGCTCAGGAAAGTGACCAGGGGATTACAGGCTGATATCACCCAGTCCCCGCCCTACTCTGGACCAATCAGTGAGCAGTATGGGGTTGGAGGAATGGATTTAGTGTTCATGACCCACCTGTGCTGATCTCTGTAGGAGTGTCCTCCTCTATAAATGTCCCCGTTATTCCATCCTCCTCCATAGACTGCTGATCATCCCTCACATACGCCTCTTCTTCTTCTGCTTTCACCTCAAATTCTATATCGATTGGATCTCCACTCTAAATCAAGGAAATGAGAGAAAATATCATCTGTAAAATGTAAGGTCACATAAACAATCCACACATTGTCTCTACAAGTCCATGTTCTAGATGCTCCATCCCACCAACCTTGTAATAGTGAGGGATGGTGTGACCTTCCTGTGTGGAATCCCGGAATACAGAGGACGGGGACATCTCTCTGGTGGGTTCCTGTAGCTGGATGACTCCACCATGGTATCCTGGTACAGATCTTTGTGTTCTTTTAGAAGCTCTGACTCCTCCATCCCCCCATCCTCATCCTCCTCCTCTTTTATCTCTTCTTTAACCTCAACTTTAGGATCTCTCAGGTTTCCACTCTGAATATATAATAAAAATGCCATCAATGGTAACAATGCAGATAATGTACAGATCCTAATGATACTATCAGTGATTGGAGAATTTCCCAGAATTCCCGGCACCGCTCACCTCTCCTGTCAGCAGTCCATCATCTTCTTGGTGACTTCTAGAATCTTCTGCATGTTGTGTCTCTCAGGGTTTAGGGAGTCACATGGAGGCACTGTGATGGTCATATGATCACCTGACTTCAGAAGAGGAAATCTCTGTATTGCGGAACTAATAGGAATATCATGTTAGACTCCCAGAATCCTCCTCACCTCTCCGGTCAGGTCTGTGTTTTTATTAATAGAGATAAGAGTGATGTCATGTGACCTCCCAGAATCCTCCTCACCTCTCCGGTCAGGTCTGTGTTTTATTAATAGAGATGAGAGTGATGTCATGTGACCTCCCAGAATCCTCCTCACCTCTCCGGTCAGGTCTGTGTTTTATTAATAGAGATGAGAGTAATGTCATGTGACCTCCCAGAATCCTCCTCACCTCTCCGGTCAGGTCTGTGTTTTATTAATAGAGATGAGTGATGTCATGTGACCTCCCAGAATCCTCCCCACCTCTCCAGTCAGGTCTGTGTTTTATTAAGGATACGAGTGATGTCATGTGAACTCCCAGAATCCTCCTCACCTCTCTGGTCAGGTCTGTGTTTTATTAATAGAGACAAGAGTGGTGTCATGTGACCTCCCAGAATCCTGCTCACCTCTCTGGTCAGGTCTGTGTTTTATTAATAGAGACAAGAGTGGTGTCATGTGACCTCCCAGAATCCTCCTCACCTCTCCGGTCAGGTCTGCGTTTTATTAATAGAGATAAGAGTGATGTCATGTGACCTCCCAGAATCCTCCTCACCTCTCCGGTCAGGTCTGTTTCATTAATAGAGACAAGGGTGAGTATGGGCAATTACCCATTAAAAGACATAAACACAATCTCCCATAGAGTAATACCTCTTTAATTGAGTAAAAAACAGATCCCGATTCACAAATTCTCACTCACATTTTTTGTTTTTTTTTTTTTCCATGTTTTTTTTTTGTTTTTTCTGTCACGTGTATATATTTTTTTCACTGTTTTTTTATTCCTTGACATCTGTCACTAGTTTTTTTTTATGTGCGTTTGTTTTTTTATTTGTGTGGGGAGTGACTGCTCACACATCCAATTAAGGATGTTTTTCCTTGACATCTGTGTGGTTCCTCCAGTCCTCATCTGTTAGTGACAGTGCTCATTATATAGTCCCATTTGGACAGGTTTTATGTTCTCACCTATTGGTTGAAATGATCTCTTATCTGATTATCACTGTTAGATCCATGAAGTGGATCACTTCACGTACACATCATTATTATTTCTGTATGTGTGTGAATACACTTCATGCTATTGATTATCACATTAGATCCCCTAGTGGATCTGTATTCACTTTCATTGGATCCCTAGAGGATCCCATCACTCTTATACACATGTATTGGTTTCACTGTATATAATTCTATGATGATCACTCATTAGTATATGTTTGTATATTCAGTATTTCTATTCACTTATTATTTATATATTAGGTAGCGCTGCATCAATTTATTATGTTTTTGGTTATTTCCCTGTCATAAGGTATATGATAGATGGCAGCAGCTTCCTCTTATTAGGAGTTTTATGTCATCAGTATTGAGTTAGGAGTGCAGGAGGTTCACACCATTAAATTCTAGGAGCAGACCTCCTCCGTACTCCATACTGATGACCTAGAAGGGGCTATAAATGTGTCCCCTATAGATAATACCGGGGACTAAAGGTTGTCACCATTTCAGCACACACAACTTAAGGTTTGACATGTTGGATATCTATTTACTCGCTGCAACCTCGGCTTTTATATTTTTACACATAAATGGGTCATTTATTGCTTTTTTGTGCCCTGAAATCAGCTTAAGTGTATTTTTTACTGAAATTTGGAATTTCCTAGACTTTGTGATAATATTTTGTGACATAAAAAATTAGAACTGCCGCTATTTTATTCTCTAAAGTCTCTATTTTCACAAAATATTTTGGGGGTTTTTATGTCATCTTTAGGGCTAAAATGATTTTTTAAATGTTTGCAAAAAGGGCTCTGGGAGTGAAAGGGAGAAAGGGTAAGAAGGACACTCCCCTTTCCTGAGGAGCAGCCAATCAGTTCTCATTACACTGCAAGGTCTCTCACCTCCCTGCTAGTCCCCGGGTGCGGTGCTGGAGACAGGCGGGGGAGGGGAGGAGGAGATAAACAGTGCAATGTTACACATATTAAATGTTTTAGTCGCTATAAAGCCCCATTTATTTTTTAAACCCCCAGATATTCCTAAAAGAGCCTCAGATTTATATAATTTTTTCTGTTAAAAAGGAATGTTTCCTTCCTCCTGAGCAGCAATGTAAGGGGCTCTATGCTCCATACTCCTGACCCCGGCACTCCATCATTGTGTTGGCTGCATAGTGTAATGATTGCCCATTGGCTGCCTGTGTAGTGTCATCATTGCCCTTTGTAGGCCATGTAATGGTCAGGATGGTCCTTGTCTTGTCTATTTATTGTCAGTGCTGTTTGTTTAGAGGACCATATTACTAGAATTTATCTCCACAATGAGGAGAATGTTCCGGCCCCGGAAGTGGGGGAATGTTCTGCCCCTGAAGGGGTTCATCTGGGTTCCCACACTATATATGTGTGTATCATCATCTGCTGGAGATAAAAGACGTCACAGTGACTATGGAGGAAGAGGGACGGACATGACTATGGAGGAAGAGGACGGACATGACTATGGAGGAAGAGGACGGACGTGACTATGGAGGAAGAGGACGGACGTGACTATGGAGGAAGAGGACGGACATGACTATGGAGGAAGAGGACGGACGTGACTATGGAGGAAGAGGACGGACGAGACGTGATGATGGAGGAAGAGGATGGATGTGACTATGGAGGAAGAGACGGACGTGACTATGGAGAAAGAGGACGGACATGACTGATGGAGGAAGAGGACGGACGTGACGGGGGTTAGTGGGTGTAAATAGGAAATAACATCTTGTTACCTCCTCTGCTGCCAAGTGCCGCAAAATGTCTGCTGCTCTGCTTCCTCCCAACTCACCTCTCGAATGGCCTGTCTGTACCTGACATCATTTCCTGTCTGTACCTGACATCACTTCCTGTCTGTATTCCATAGAGAAGTCCTGTCTGGGGAGAATGGATCACCATCTTGTGGAGTTCAGAGGAACTGCAGCCCGAGAAATGTCCCCTACTAACCATTCCTGCATTGTATCTACCTTACAGAGATACCAGGGAAGATCAAAAAGAACTAAAAAAACAGTAAGAAACAATAAACCTAACTCTTATGCAACCAACTGTTTAAAAAAGATATTTTACTACAGATAGAAAAGACTTAAAGACACAGAACACAAGATAAAAACAAAGGTATACATAATAAAACAGAGACCTCCAAAACAGATGTTTTTGGGTAAAAAAAATATGCAAAAATACATCCAAAAGCATAAAAATAAATATCAATCCACTCATAATGAAGATGTCAGACATAAATGACAAGGATGTAATGGTCACAGAGGAATGGTGGTGGAGATCTCTCACAGTAAGAACACTTCCTTGAATGGTTCTATAAATAAAGAATGAATCCTGGAGGGAATAAAGCTGTAAAGCAATAAATAATATATAAACTGGGGCCATCCACTTCATCCATAAAGACATTGTGATTGAAGATCTTCTAGATCACATAGAAGGAGGACTCATCCATGATTTCATACATTTGTTGGAAGGATAGAACAATCCTCAGAAGGGAACATGTAGGATGACAGGAAAGGCTCCTGACTGGTGAGATCCTCCAAACATAATGATGACATCCATGAACTGGAGCGAGCTCGTTGGGGTGATAAAGCTAATCTGGAAACACTGTGTAGACGTTCTCCAAGAAACTCAGCACACTCCAGGTGTGGAAAAGTCTCCAGGTGGGTTTAGCCTGTCATTTATCATAGGTAGAGACATGTCCACACATGGACTTCCACAGGGACCCCGAGACTACATATAGAACCTGTACAGTGTCCCCTGTAATGAACTGCTTCCCACCAGGCCTATAGCAGAATGACAGCTGAGCGGATCTCTCCCATCCTGGGTGGACATCATATGAAGTCCTCCAAGTTAGTAGTGGCTCTGCTGTATCTTGATATGTCACCTGCTGTGTCCACCAGATGACAGATCATTGTACCAGGCCAGCCCAGTACCATGTGATTGCTATGACCAATCACAGTGATCACATGACAGTTGTACACAATGAATGGCTTTCATTCATAGCCATCCATTGTGTACAATTGTGATGGTCTCTGTGATTTGTCACTGGCTCACTACCTCTACTGGAAATTTTATTCCAAGCATCAAAGCTACTCTCTTTCAGTAAAATAATATTTCTGAGATTAGTTGTGAACTTTCTTCCAGTTAGTTGGAGGTCATGTCCTCGTGTTCTTCATTTTGGTTTCATATTGAAAATCCTGCCCTCCTGAACCTTCTTCACTCCCTTGTTGTATGTAAAGGTTTCAGTCATGTCTCCCCTTTCCCTTCTCTCCTCCAGACTGGACATGTTACGTTCCTGAAGTCTCTCCTGATATCACTATTTGTATTCCCGTCTCTGGACTCGTTCTATCTTATCAATACCTTTATGTAAGTGAGGTCTCAGAACTGGACACAGTATTCTACAATGAGGTTGCTGTGACCCTCTAGTGATAGAAAGATCTATATAGAGTGAATCGGGACCTCCTTCTCCCGCCGCTGACCCTTCTAGTGATATAAAGATCTATATAGAGGAATCGGGACCCCCCTTCCTCCTGGGTGACCCCTCTAGTGATATAAAGATCTATATAGAGGAATCAGGACCTCCTTCTGTGACGAATGTGCGCCATAGAGGGCATGGACGCTGTACATGACAGCCATCTTGTTAGGTCTCAGCCATGTTCCCTTCTGTCCTCCCCCCTCCTTTGTCCATGGAAATGCATTGCTACAAGCTGAACGGAGGTCAACAGGATCTCTTATCCTAAATAAAAACACAGATAGATCATCTCCATGGCTGTAAACCTCGA